ATCTGTTAATATGATTTCTTATTAGAAAGTCTGAATTTTTATGTTAACCAATACTGCAAATTGAGGATCAGTCCTGTTTATAACTCTTTAAGTGTTCTTCTGTATTTAATTTAGTAATTTTTCCTTGAGGATTTTTTCAACTATATTCATTGATAGTTTTTGTTTATCTTGCAATATATTTGCTTGGTTTTGGCATCAAGGTAATTCTCATCTCTTACAATAAGTTGTAAAACTTTTTCTTTTCATTTATTTTCTGGGATAATTTGTGAAAGACATCTTTGTCATCCTTTCAATTTTGGGGAAGATTTACCAAATAAAATGCAATCTTGTACATTTTTTATGAGGTCTTTTAAAAAAATTTCAATTCAGAAACTTTAGTAGTTAGAGATTTTTAACATTTCTTTTTGAATCAATTTTCGTAGTATGTTTTTCTTGCAAATTTATTCATTTCGCTAAGTTATATTATTTATTAGTACATATTTTCCTACAGTATTACCTTCAGTATTGCCTTATAATCCTTTTTATTTCTGTAAGGTTGATAGTAATATGCTCTCTTTAGCTTTTTCTTTCTTTCTTTCTTTCCTTTTTTTTTTTTTTTTTTTTTTTTTTTTTTTTTTTTTTGAGTCAAGGCTTGCTGTGCACTTCCAGCTGGCCTTGAACTCACTCTGTAGCCCAGGCTGTTCTCGACCTCACAACCATCCTTTTGCCTCGGCCTCCTGCGTACTGGGATTACAGGTGTGCATCACTACGCCTGGCTTTAGCTTCAGTCTACTTAGTGAACTCTTACTTTTAAAGTACTCTGTGTGAAATATGCCGGAGAATTTCTACTGCTGTCCAGAAGGAAAAGCTCAAATCATTGGCATTATTTTTTGGAAAGAAGTAAAATCTTGGAGGGCACTTAGCAACAGTTCAAGGGGCGCCAAGGAAAAGCGAGGGAAAACACCAAAACAGGCAGGAAATGGGGGTGAGGAGGGCACACTGGAGTCTGAGGGCCTCTTCTCCCCAGGGCGACCTGCCCTTGGGTCCTCTTTTTTTCTTTTTTGATACAGGGTCTCACTATGCAGTTCAGAGTGGTAGTGATCTCCTTTCTCAGGTTCCCCAGCACTGGGATTACAGGGATGAACCAGCATGCCCAGTTTCCGGGCCAGCACAGCATTCCCCGGGTTCCAGGGCTGGCATGGCATGTGGTACTAGGGATTGAACCCGGGTCCTTGTGCTTGCCAGGCAGGTGCTTAAGACTGCTGAGTTACCTCCCAAGCTCCCCTCCAATTGGGTCTTCTTAGCCCCAAAGCAGAAATTCTCCAGAATGGCCCTCAACAGAGCAGTGACTTTCATGTCTCCAGCTTCCTAGCCACCCTGTTTCACAGTACTGCATTGAGTCATCAACCAGCTAGTGTGGAGAGTTCACCCTGAGCCGTACCCTCCAGTCCACCAAGCTCAGCGTGGTGCTGCACACCCGTGATCCCAGCACTCAGGAGATTGAAGCAGGAGGATCACTTCGAGTTTAAGGCTAGCCTAGGCCCCATTCAGCCAGATCCTGTCTCCCCCTCCAAAAGAACAAAAACCAAACAAAATAAATGAAGATGGAAGAACATTCGACAGAGCAGCTGGGAACCAGCAGGTGGCACCACAGCCACAGCCAGCCCTGGTACTCAGCCCAGGGACACCCCCTTAAGGCTCTAGCTCCCGCAAGTGGCAATGGCAGAGACAGCAGCCCAGTGGCTCACAACAGAGAAGACACTGCACCAATACTGTCTCACTACTTGGTTTAGGGTGCCAGAGCCGATGAACTGGAACAGCAAGAAACTTGTCACTTTCTCCACATGACAACACCAGCTTCACCTCCTTCCTTTCTTCCTGTCTGTCTATTCACAGCACTGGAAACTGAACCCAGGGCCTCCATACTGAGCTACATCCCGGGCCTTTTTATTTTCCAGACAAGGTCTCGCTAGGTTGCTAAATTGCCTCGGTTGGGTTTGAACTTACAATCCTCCTGCCTCAGCCTCTTGAGTGCTGGGATGATGGTGCCCATCACTGCTCCAGTTCTTCCTTCCTGTTTTCTTCCAGCTTCCTGCGCAAGGTTAGGAAGCCAGGGCCAAGCACCTCAGGAGCAAACATCCTGCTACTTTGCAACACTCTGCCAGGCCTGCCCATGTGGGAGTGTCCTGTCTCAGAATGGGTCGCATAACACAGAAGACACTTGTGGTTCCTGGATGGATGTTGCATGGGCCAGCGCCCCAGGTGATGAGCCACTTATATCATTTCCACAGATTTGTCCCCATCTCTCTGCCACCTAAAGTTCAAAAAGAGTGGTAGCCCCGGGCTAGGGGGATAACTGGTGGAAGTGCCTGCTTGGCAAAGTGTAAGGAACCGAGTTCAATCCCAGGTACTGCATATGTAGCCCCAGAGCTGGGCGTAGCGTAGTGGTGCACGCCTGTACTGCCAGTGCTGGGGAGACTAAGAAAGAAGGATGAGTACAAGTCTGAACTGGGTAGCGAGACTCTGTATGAGATACAGAGAGAGAGAGAAAGAGAGAGAGAGAGAGAGAGAGAGAGAGAGAGAGAGAGAGAGAGACCACCTCGGGGCAAGGCAGAGCTATCCCTCAGCCAAAATTTAGCCCCTTTGTGGAACAGAGAAAAGAAATGGTGAACAAGCAGGGCCTGTTAGCACAGACCCAGAACCCCGGTGCTTAGGAGGCTGGGGCAGGAGTATCGCTGTTTCAAGGCCAGCCTGTGCTATATAACAAGGCTCTGTCTCAAAATAAAAGCAAAATGATCAAAAAACAAACGAAAGAAACATGAAAAGAAATGCTGAAGAATGGAATAGAAACCCAGCCTGGCTGTGTAATGTCAGATGTCATCTAACATCCCTGGGTCACAGTGCCCCGGCGTAATGACAGCATTGCCTCAGCCCCACAAGCAGCTAAGCGCAGGGTCTGTTTTCCAGCTTCCTGAGTCCAATTCCTGTTCTGCCAACTCTCACCTGCATGGTCATAAGTAAGCCACTAAGCTTTCTGAGCCTGCATTTCCTCACCTTGAAAATATGGATAATGATATTTGCCTCTTGGGAATAAATGAAAGCCTCAAAGAGAAAAGGTACTTTAGCCAGGTATGATGGTGCACGTCTATAATCCCGGTGTCTGGGAGCCTGAAGCAGGAGGATCACCATGAGTTTAAGGCCAGTCTGGGATACGTAAGCTTGTTCAAGGCCAGCCTGCACTACTTTGTGAGACCCCACAACTGCCCCCCCAAAAAAAAATATGAGAAGGAAAAGCTACTTTAAAAGGACCAGCACTCAGTAATCCTACCACAATCAGACCACCTTCAAAATTCTGGGATCCTAAGTAAAACCCAATGGGTCAGACTCCCTTGTTTTGGGTGGCCAGAGAGCGCAACAAATTAAAGCACCTGCTTAGGCAGAGTACAGGGACTGGGGTTCTATTGCGGGTGTGCCGTGCCAGCCCCAC